TACAGTACAGTATATTATTAAACCCAGGAAGTTCAACTTTTAATGACTACCATGGGAACTGAACTTTTACTAGAATTTGATTTGGAATCATAAGAATAATACTTTGGTCCAAACAATATTTATGAATTTTTATGTGTCTATGTGGCACTTTATTCTAGCCAATAATTGGCTGATTGTTAAATTAATCTGTTGCTATATGGCCCTGATAGGACAGCTTTTTCCAAGCGTTTCTATCCTAGTTGTAAATAGTTGTATTATTTGTAAATATCATAAAAGTTATGATTTCTTTGTGTTCGATTACTTTCTTTGAGCCATTATCGTAACAATGATAATTTATGATAATGGATAATGATCAGTCATTCATTATAATGTCACCATCATCTGGCATAATGTCGTTTCCTCTTTCCTATTTTTTTTTTCTAGTTCATACTAATGTGTTTCTTTTATGTCTAGTGAAATCGTCATGTTTTCATGGTAGTAGTAGTAGGTATAGTTAATATTAACATTATTAATGCTAAATTTTAGTAATATATTATAATGGAGTTATAACATAACAACAATGTATATGCTAAGTTTAACAATAGCAAATCTAATCTGATTCTCATGTGATTTAATTCCATTAACAGCAAAAAGGATTGTATAATACTTCAGTGTTTATATTATATTACCGTATGGTACAAAATGTTTACCATAGTTACTCATGCAGATGCCCAACCAGTATTGAACATGGTTTATCAGTGGTGGATCCAGGAGAAAATAGATGGTTCTAAAATACAAAGGCTGACTTGTCATTAAAATCCGAGTTGAAAAGGGCATTTGAGGGGATGTTCCCCCCCCCCCACATCATTTAATATTTTTATAGAGCATCCTACGAACTGAAATGATGGTATGAATGAAGCAAGAAAAGAGTAAAATGCATAGGTTTTGGTTTGCCCAAATGGCCTTCTAGGTTCATATACATTTACGTTGAATACTCAAAAGGTTCCCTCTGTTGGGACTTGACATCGAGGAATAAAAACTTTAATATGCATGACATGGGCAACGGATGTGACACAGAAAAAGAGGCAAAACCAAGTGCAGAAAAATAATCTTGGTTCAAGTAAAACTGGAATTCGCTATCCTCTAAAGGTTGGCTGGCTGGCCTAAGCTAGACCTATCACACCTGCAAACTTATTCTTTGCATTTTATGGACTTCAGGTGTAATTGTAAACCAATCTCAAAATCAGACCAACTTCATAAGGCTCAAAATGTTCTGATTTTTACAGTACTGGTATTTTTTTTATTCTCTAAGAGTTTTAATTAGTCGCACCTACTGTACACTGCCTACTAAGCAGAGTGTAGACCTAAAGGATTTTCAATTCACTTTTTTAATAATGACAAAATGTACCAGTTTGACATTTTCACCTCACTTCAATTTATTCCATTCCAGGCTATGTGTTTTGTGTTGTTTTTATAATGAGAATGTGGTTTTTAAGCTATAAAAATGCCAAACCAATGTAATTAGTCAATCATTTAATGAATTAATTAATCAAGCAATCAATTAGTCCTTTAGTCAATCAACCACTTAGTCACAAAATTGATTCATATATACCATTATGAAAATAGCTTCTTTGAAATGTGTTTGAAAAGTTACAAAAATAGAGAGGAAGCGGTTGTGTAATTGCAAGCCAAATGTCAACACATTAAAAATTGATATTTAGCACACTGCAAGGTGTGCCATTGAAGATCAATTTAAAGGTGGCCCACATTTTGTTACCTGAGGCAGTATAAGATCAAAATGGAAAACTCTGAAGGTATACAACAGATGATGTACCAGGAGCCTGTTGTGGTATTTTGCCCTCTAGCAAAAATGCAGATCTTTTAAATAACAGTTTGTTTGCATACAAAAGTCAGAAGTAAGGACGATTATCTTTATGCGTATGAGTTGAGCTTTTGACTGGAAGGTAATGCCCCTGCTTCTTGTGCTGAAGATCCTGGTTCAAACATAGCCAATGTTGGATTTTAATTGGAGTCGACCGCTCAGGTTCTTGAATAACTCACATGAAAATTAGGCAGGATAGGGGATATGTGGTACTGGCGCTGTACTGTGGCTGCTTTGGTTCCCCAGGGGCTCAGCCATAATTCCAAATTTGGAACAATGACAAAAATGAAATAAAAAAAATTATGATCAAATATTTAGTAGGCCTACACTATTTAGTATTTTGTGGAAATGCTAAAAACATTATTTTAATTACAGAAAACATTGCATGTTTTAGCCAAAATCAAATAATATTTGTATTAAAAAATAAAAGGATTTATGATGGTTGGTTTGTGCATAATTGAGAGGACTCTTTTACACATACTTGCATAAGGTTTTAAACCAATTTAGCAACACTGGAATAAACAAGGGAAAAATATTGTTCCATGGCTCCAGAAAGCCTATCACAGTTTTAAAGCTGGTCTTACCAAGATAATAAATAGGATTGGAGAGTGCTGTGGTTGAACTGTGGTGAAAGCAAAAACCTTCAAAATTCATTAATATATGTGGGAATTGACAGATGGCCTTGTAAGGTTGTAAGTCATGGCTTTTCTACCTGACAATGAGAATAGTGCTATTGATATTAAAGTTTCTTTCTGGAGGTTTAGGAATTGAACACCAATAATCCTTTCCAAACTTTGAACCAATAAATGATTTGTTCTGTACATTAAATTAAATAATAAATAAATTGTTCCAAAAAATGTTCGTCATTGTTGTGGTTGGCATTATCATTGATATCATCATTTTTAACGTCTTTATCATTATCATCATCATATATGACATCATTTTATCATAATCACCAGAATAATTTGATTGCTTTATTATGAAATATTATACTATTAACAGTGTTTTATTGCTGTAGTTGATATTATATTTTTTTTCAAAAATTACAATTATATACTTACAAATAATATTTTTAAAATTTGATTTGGCTTTAGATTCTGCTCTTGCAAATGCTGTATGTATGTTTATGTATAATTTCATTTAATCAAACATATTTGCTTTCCTACATGCAATACTGAATAAAATATATAATTTAATGTATGCAACAAGTGCGGATATATTTCAGTGTTGGATTTATGTGTATTTTGCAGTTACCGGTAAATAGAAGTTGGTGACAGAGTACATACAATGATAGATCATAGGATTGAAAACTGCTAATGACAAATGTGATAAATATTGAAAAATACAGTTCATTAAAAAGCATATGATGAATGACTGATTCAATGAGTCATCTATTGAGCGAGCAAGAGAAAGAATGGAGAAACACAAACATAAATAATGGAAGAGTGAGAGAGAGAGGAAATAAATAAACGAGTTAAGGAATAATGGATGATTGATTAAATCATTCGTCAATCAATTAATATTATACATTAATTAGTGTAACAAAAGCCTTATGATTTGTTTATAAATTTTTTTGGTTCATCAATATTCATTAAATAATATGTTAATTAACTGACGAACTTATATTGTGACTTGTTATCTTTCAGATTCGAATGAGGGAACAGGCTCCTCTTCAGTGCCTCTCGCAAATTTAGGAAGTAATGACTCACCGGTTTACAAGAGAAAAGGAAGTATAAAGTATGTACATGAGTGAATTCACTTTATTTATTATTAGCACAGAGGGGTGGGTTATGTTGTTGATGAATGCTATGTTGCTACGGTTGTAAAGTCAGATGCAGGGGTTGGCAAATTGAAATTCATCCAAGTTTAGTGCATTGAATTTGTTATCCTCTGAGCGTAGGGGGAGCATATACCAGATAAATGGGGAATCCCCTACCATAATAATTAGCATACACTGTATTAATTTGTAGCTACCTCTATTTGGAATTTTTAGTACCTGCAAATCACTATCCATATGAGTTGTTATTCAGCATCTGACATTTAAAAGACATACATATTTTATTGTGGCATAGTATTTTGATGCTCTGTATATCATTTTATTACCATCTTGTCAGAACCAAAAAACAAATAATTACCTATTTTTGTTATAAATATCCCTCAATTAAATAAAACAAATATCTTTTTATTTTATTGATCCTCTAGTGTTGTAAAAAAAATCAGTACCAAAATATATTCAGGGATAATTATGTTCATAGTAATTAAAAACATTTGTTTTTAATTTGTTTTGAAATATTTATTCATAATATTTATTGTATGCTGAGTTATGAAATTATTTAATTGCTTTCTATTCTCACTCGCCAAGTAGTTTTATTGCGGGGATGTAGAATTCCATTGTGGATAGTTTGGTGGTGGTGGTTTCTCTTCATTTATTTAATCATTTGATATAAAATAAATATTCTACAAAATAACAACACAAAGCAAAGACTAGATTGCCAATATCACTTTCTATCTCTATCCAAGGTAATAGATTATTATGCATTCATAAATTCATGTAATGAATTACCGTATAATTATAAAATAATACAAACAATTTTAATTAATTGATTATGAGCTCTGTTTGAAATTTTTTTCTATTCCTCACCATCAATATCATTGTTCGGAGGTTTAGAATAGCAACAGGATATAGTTTGAGTAGCAACCATCATTGATAAACTCATCGCCAACGTTGCATTGTGGGTAGCGAATTTGCAAGCTGACAAGTGGTAATCATTTAGGATCGTTGATGTATTATGTTTACAAACCCTTTTCTGCTCCTCACCGTCAGTTCAAGGAACCTGACACACATATTCATTTCAGAATACATCTATGCAGCTGAGGAGCTGCCTTAATAACGTGTTTGACATTTCAGCAAAAAAAAAAAATCAATAGGACTAGAACTTGCCTTGATCAGTTTATCGGCCATCTCAAAATGCTAAAGAACGTCAAGACGATATTTTCACTGAGCTTAGAATAAATAGATTACCTATAGAATATTTAAATATATTTGGATGATCATAGTGTTGAAGCAAATATTTCATTTCAGTTGCTATATGAATGCCGTACCTATTCCTGCTTTAATATTCATGAAGTTCTATGAAATTATACATAATAATGCTAATTATCATTTGATGAACACAAGCTAATAATACTTTCAATTAATAAACAAATTTTGTTGGGCTAAAACAAAATATAAAAATTCAATTCAATTCTGCAATTGCTTTGTATATTAAGGTATTTACTTGAAAATCTTATCAGTATCGTAATTAATACTATTGTGTTATTATGTGTAAAACTCATTTTTAATAGAGTTTTGTAAAATTAGCATAAACCATATGGTTTTTACCTGTGTCTCATTGAAATCTGATAATTTATTTCATTATTTTTAATGTACATTTTCATTTTTAAGCCTTTTTTCCAGATTTGCCAAAGATGACATAATAAATTTGCAGAAAATTTTGTTTTAAAAATTTTGTCATCATTGCAATTTTGATTTAAAGGTAATAATTATAATTCTCGACACTGAACACACAACCTGAAGCTCTTCAAAATATAGCCTTGCATATTTTTTTATTCTGGCAATGCTAATTTTCATTATGCATTTCAATTTTTTAAATGTTTATTTTTAGCACCTTGCAGCCGTTGGCAATAAGCAGCTTATACAATTCTTAATATTGTTATTATTAATAGTAATTATTATAATTTTATCCTTAATGTTAAGTATTAATTCATTTCTGATTAACATAATAATTATTACTTGAATCCCAAGGATGATGGATATTGATTTTTCCATCATTGATTCAGATTCATATTTACTCAGTACAATATGCTTAGAAATTAATTTTTTGAGTGAATGATTTCTAACGTCTGGCTAAATCTAACAATTAAACAAGTACTTTATTAACTGTCAATTTTGATGCAGTCCCCATTAATTGGTTTGTAAACATGTCCTATGAATAATTAATGAGCCAACTGGTTTATATTCTTCATACATTTTGGGTATCACTACATTTTAATTTGGAGACACTGTTAAAAATCAGTACATTATTCAGTTAAATAAATCATTTAGCCATAAAAAAAAAAATGAATTTATAATGTTAAGTAGATTAATGATACATTCATACAATGCATAAATCATATCATTATGCCATTTCCACAGGGAACCAATACCCACAAATGAGAATAGTTGTTAACTTGAGGTTGATCTGGATAAGCTAGTATAATGAGACTCGCAAGGAAATTTGTCGCCTAACACTTTCTGCAACTTTGCTGGAACTGATCGTTCCAACAACACAGAAAAATGCTTGTATAGAATTTAAATCATAGATGGTTGGGTGTTAAATTTTCAAGAAATTTTTCCCTCGTGAAATTAAAATTATGTAATAAGTTAAGATAAAATACAAAAATACTTAGTTAACTTGAAAACCATTTTATTTAAAAACAATAATCAAATAATGACATGTCAGAATTTTATAGTGCTGTACATAACTACTGTAAGGTTTAGAGCACTTCACATTATCATATAATGATGTGTTTAAAAATTTTTTTTTCTACATTTGTTGTCCTGCCTGTCACCATACATTTACAACTTACAAGTTGTATCAGACTGAAAATATACATAGTTATTAAATTAATTGAATATTGTTCAATGACTATTCCCTTTCCTATCTTTCCTAGTATCCTCATTGATCAGAATCATTTAATTGTGTTTAGACTTGCGGCCAGCAATTCAGAATTATTTGTGTGTACAGAAGGCTGGCTCAATGCCTACTTTCTGCGTAAATGTAAATGCTTTTAAAATTGTATAACGTTTGCGTGACTAAAGTGTTCTACTCTGCGTCAGGGTGATGAGTTATGAAGTGGCATGTTGATTGGTATACTGGTAAACTTTAAAGGGGATGGGACTATTATTAGCCAGACTAAATATAGCAATTACCAAGGAGGATTTTAAGTAAATTCCTTTGTTTAAGTCAAGGAATTTGTTAGCAGTACACTCTACTTAATGTGGTGATGAGCGGTATTTTTTCCAATTGTGGCAATAATCTGTTGTTGGTTTTTCCAAGGAGATCACTCCAAACAGTGATTAATTAATAGATTAATCTGTTTATGTAAGATAAGTAACAGACATTTGTTTAAATTGCTTAATTGCTGAGTAACCTGTGCATGCCCAGTCCTACTCCATCATTATCTACACTGATAACATTACAGTAAATTGTTAAATTTAGGTTTCAGCATTACTTTTCAAAGTCATAATCTTTAAGTTGTAAAGCCAAGTTAAGTGATGTTAAGGCATCTTAACACAATAATCTGGCCTTGTTCCCTGTACATTCTCATTGTTGTTGTTTTACTTTTTAGATAGGGATTCATGGTATGTTTTCTTTTGCTCATTAGAAAGTGGTTAAAGAGTCCTGTCAGGAGGAAACTCAGTGGGAAACAGTCTGACAAGAAAGAGCAAGCAAATGGTAAAAGCTCTAAGGTGAGTTCAGATTATAGAATAATACATTCAAGGAATTGGATGAGAATTGTGAAGATGGATACTGAATAGTAGAGGAAATGGGAGTTAAGAAGAATGGTGGGAAGAAGATTTGAATTGATGAGAATGATGAAAACGATGAGCGTTATAAGAATGGTGAAGAAGATAGGAGTTAATAAGAATGGTGAAAAAGATGAGAGTTGTTAAGAATGGTGGAGAAGGTGAGAGTTAAGTACCGACATGTACTGGTGTCCACATGTACTAACAATTTGAACACTATATTGAGTCTGGGCAGTAAGTATTTCACTATTTGTTTGTTTACATTAGCGTAGAGCGGTGTTCTTACTTTCACGAAATCGCGATTATCTCTGCTTCGTTGTGCGAAATTGCATAAATCACCAAAAGTGAGCCATCTTTATTTTACTGTTATGGGTCACAGATTGCAATTAGAATAAAGTGTTTGGTGCCATTGTAAAGTAAAAACATTTGTAGTTCTTATAGTATTCACTACATGTCAATCTGATCACATACGCACTACCAACGAGCTTCAGAAAGTGTTAAAATTTGTTAAAAAGTCTGGCGGTGACTGAAAATTTTTTCGAACCCCTCGTGGTCAGAGTGTTGAGGAGTTAAATATTAAAAGCAGTATTTGGCTGAAGTTGTTTGAAGACATCAATAAATATAACCTCCTGTTGAAAGAAATGGAAGTTGGTAAGAAGGATAAGAAGGTGGATGTTGATGAGAAAGTGTGAAGACGGTCTGAGTTAATGAAAGTTTAAGAATATGGATGTTAGTGTAGTAAAGAGAATGAAAGTTGATGAGAAAGCAAAAAGAAGATGGATAGTTGATGAAAATGATGAAGAAAATTGATGTTGAAAAAGTTGGCAGTTGGTGAAAATGGTGTGAAGAAAATGGCAGTTGATGAGACTGGTGGAAACAATGGCAGTTGATGTAAACATTGAAAGATATTAGATATAGCACTTGGTAGGGAGATTATCCGTTCTATAAATGGCATTGTAGCAGTATAGTTAGACTATACCTCCATGGTTAGACCAGAGGTCATTATAAGAATTTGTTTATGCATCTGGTAAGACAGTTCTGAATCCAGAACCCTCTGTAAGTGAGATGAGTTTACAGAGGGGCCAGGCAAACATTCAAGTCAAACCTTTCTGAAATAGTAAATCCCAGTCTTATTTTTAGTAAAGTTGCAAAAAGTTTGTAGAGGAAGTAATGCTGACAAATCCTGGATATGTTCAGTTACTGTACTCAAATTCCAACCAAAGTAGTGTGAAACGAAAGTGACTGAAAGAAGGATAATAAACTATTGATGTAAATTTAGATAATAAACTGAACTTTGTATTGTATTAAACTAGTTGACTGCTGGAGAGAGATCACTTGCAAGAAATAATGAATAATATGATGAACATTATTCTTAAATGGGTAGTGTATGATTCCTTAGTGTAAACAGGATTACATGGATTATAATGTTGCTGCTAAATTTCACATTATTCCTGCTTTTAATTGCAAGGAGTGATCATAACTGTCTGTAACAACATTGGTGTGTTTCCAAACTCTCACCATTGTTTACTTTACAACCAGCTCTAAAAGTACATGCATGTTTGAACATATTAACAGTTTAAACATCTAAATATCTTCAGCAACACCAGATGCCTTGCCTTAGGCATGAATTATCAATAACTCTTCATGTCGTGTGCATTGTGTGTGTCTAAGCTATTATCATATGTGTCCTATTGATACTAGAATGAATGTTTCGTATGCATCCAATAAAATCGTACAGTTTCATCCCGTCTCAGTGAGTTTTCGTTTATTGATGAAATTTCTTTATGGAACCTATGCAGTTGTTTACTAAAATGTCTTTTTGTTGGAGAGGGGATGGTGCAGTGTGTTTTGTGAGCATGGTGTATTAATATGTGTATTGTTAGGGTAGGAGTTACATGTGTACATTATCATATTTTAATTATATTTCTACATTATATATTGATAGACAGCATATATATTATACTGTAGTTTAGTAGTCAACTGTGACATTGTTATAAAGTTCACCCTAAATTACCTAGCTACCTGACAAGAAAGGAACTTGTCTGAATTATTGCTGCCCTTAATTAAGCATGCAACCTCAGAGAATATTGTTGTTATAATCCATATAAGGAAGTGGTGGCTATGAGACTGCATAAGTGGTACCCAAATGGTCTAATGTTTTATGATCTTATTATGAATGGGCTAAGTACACATTGAAAAGGAATGCAGTGATATCACACACGCAGCTACAAATACGGTACAAGAATAAGAAGTTATTGTTTAGTTTTGGCTCAGTCTGATAGATCAGTCTTGTCAGGAAGACACTCTCGGTGTAAGCAGTCACATGGTAAGTATGAGATAAACAGATAGTCGCAGTATAATCTCTAAGTTTTTGTCTCTTCTCTGTGTTTGACCTTGTTGTCACCATCCTATTTAAACACTTATAACTTCATAAGGAAATGTCGGATTTAAATGATTCTTTTACCATTTTATATTGTATTAATAACTAAAAATCTCTTTAATCTCTTTTCTGTGTTTGACCTTGTCACCATCTTATTTAAACTTCTTTGACTGTATTTATGGTGTTTACCTTCCTTCTGTTTGTGCTTTGCTTATATGTAATGATTGTAACTTGTAAACAAAATTAGTTTTGTATACAGTATACAGTTAGTTTTGTATTTTAAGTGAAAACAGTACTACTGGAAGAAGAGCAAGTGAAAACTACATTTACATGACTACTAGATGAAACTATTTCTTACTGATTCTCAGTGGTGGCGCCAGGATTTCCCCGACGGGGTCCGAGGTTCCCGATGGGGAGGTTCGCTGTCCCCAATGAAAAATAGTGGGCGTAGTCAGGCGTCGTTTAGAATCTCTTGGATGTGAACCATGGAGAGCGAAGCCCCCCTCCCCTTTGAAAAATATGACAATTTATCGGTTTCAAAGGCTTATTTGATCGCTGCTGATTCCAGCTGTTTTGTTATTACTTCAATGTTATGAGGGCAGCACTCAATGTATTAGCCTTCCTAAATCCAGCATTCTGTAAGGCCTGAGTATAACTCGACCTCACCTTGTGTGTTATAGGTATTACTTACTGGTCTATAGTCATACTAGAGTATCTTGGTCTACAAAGCTGCCAGAGCTTGTACTTTGTCTTAAATTATAAACCATCCTCAGTCCTTGGAGAAATTTTATTTTACCACACAATTAACATACTTCTCAGAAATTTTGTTTTTAGTCTCCAAAGATTTTATGATTTTGAAATATGTAGGAGGCATTGTGGTTTGTTGTTAGTTTTAGGCTCACATTTGCTCTGTACATAGGTACTGTACACCATGTTGCTTGCAGGTTTTGTTTTTTTAAAAATCAAAATACACTAGTTTTGGTTTCATTCACAAGATTATTATCTGGTTGTCTGGCTCTCTTTCTATTTTCTGATTCTTTGTCACGTGTTACTTGTATTGTTAGCTGTCCTCTATCTTGAGTCCATCAGGCCTGCGATCGCAATATTAAATAATTTATTTTATCCTTCATACTGTAGGTATGGAGCGTAGAAACACCTGTGCACAACATACTTGCAAACCAAATTTTCTTCTTCATCCATTTCTGCTTTTACCTATTGCATCAAGTGAAGTAGGCAAGAATGATGTGTTTTTTCCATAATGACTCTGAAATTGCATTCAGCAAATATGAATTTGATATTCAAAAAATTCACAGTTACACTGGGAGAAGGCAGTAACAAGCAATTTAAGAGATATTGAAGCCAATCATCAAGAGTGACATATAAGTGCATGACAATACAAGGGTTGATAAAGAAATTAACATTAAACTAACATTAAATTGTCTGAAGTAAATTATGTTCTTCCATAATTTTGAAAATGGATGCACCAAATTTCTTTACATTTTTGTCAACATTCTTAGTGACTTGCTATCTAAATTTTTGATAAGTTAATCTTTTCCTTAAAATAAATTTGTGTTATCGCGAGACTCTAATCGTCACCTCTCATTTAAAGTTAGAGTCATACTATAATATTTGCCGCTGATCTAAATTGGTTAAAACTTGAGATTTTAGTCTTCACTTCACTCTTCACTCATCTAAAAATAAATTTTGAGAACTTGAGATTCTAATCTTTACCTCTGATCTAAAGTTGTTGATAACATGAGTTTAACTTAACTAATATTCTGATCATACCTCTGATGTACATTCATTGATTAGGCCCAATAAAAAAATTATTAGTTTAATATCACCCTCGCACGCTTGTCTTCTATGGTTAGTGGTGGTGCCAGCATCTGAAATGTTGGGGGTGGGGGGGGATAGGAGGGGAAAGTGAGGATCAATGCAAAATTTTAGGGGGGTGGGCAATATGCTGGGGCAGCCCGAAGTAGGCGTGGTCAGGCGTCATTGAAAATGTCTTGAAAGTGGTCCAGGGGGAAAAGGCCCCAAAAAATATGAAAATTTAAGGGTTTCAGAGGATTTTTTGATAGTTTTAAAGGTAGATAGTCTACTAATATGTAGTATTTACATTTTTTTTTCTCCCCGTTGGTTTTCTTCTTTTTGTGGGGGGAAAACAAATGCCCCTGTGCCCTCCTGTAGTGCTGCCACTGTCTATGGTTAAAAATAGAAAATTGAAAAAAAAAATTAAATTGTTGTTTTTTTTTTTTTTTTTTTTTTTTTTTGTTTTTTTTTTAAATGATAGTAAATAGCTAGTAGATATTGTTTGTATTATCTCAATCATGTTGAATATCAATGCACCAGCAAAAAACACAAGGGGGATATTTGGCTTTAGCAAAATAATAATAATAAAAAAAAAACATCCCTCCCTGCCTCCCTTCCTCCCTCATCACTTTTCCAGCCTATATAGGGTGATAAACTAATAATTTTTTTATAGGGCCTGTTAGAGATTCTGAACTTTTCATCTGATCTAAATATCTGTGATAACATGAGATTTTAATATTTTCCTCTATCT